TCTATTTTATCTATCTATTTATTTATTTATCTATTTTTTTAATATTTTCCAATAATATATATATTTATATATATATATATTTTTATATATATATATATATATATTTAAAAAGATGTCTGTTTATTTAGATCTATCTACTTTTTTTAATGTACTTATATGTAATTCGGTTTTTTATAATTTCTATAACTACCAAAGATATATAAATTTATATATATTACCTTTATCTTGACATTATAATTTGTATATATTGCCTATATCTTTACATTATAATTTGTATATATTGCCTATATTTTTTACATTATAATTTGTATATTTTTTTTACATCTGTATGTTTTTTTTTAACAGAGTTTTTATTTGTGCACGATGTACAACAAAATACAGCATATACACAATTTATCTTTTGTTGTTTTACTGATCTATATTTATTGCTACATTTTAAATTTAATCATAATCAGTGCCACTAAAAGGTTTATCATTTATGTATATGTTACTGTGTGATGCTATTTTTCTAAAATATCTGTATATGCCAATATGATGCCATAAAATTTTAAAATATCTTTATATGATAATGTGATGATATGAGGTTTTATAATTATATATACATGATAGATTTGAATGATTTTTTGATAAGGTCTATATATTTTGTATTTATATATATATAATGGAATAGACAGATGGAGATTTACTTTGAGTTTTTTTTTTTTTTTTTTGTAAGATAAATGAAGAGGACAGCTTTTTTATAGTTTTTTTGATTAGTATGTGGACGATTGAAATTTTTTTTTTTTTTTTTGAAATTTTTTTTTTTTTTTTTTTTTTTTTTTTGATTTTTTTTTTTTTATTTTTTTTTTGTCAGGAAATGTCATCTTTTCATGGATTTTTTTTTTGCCACTTGTTTAAAGTTTCCTAGCCTTTTTTTTTTTTTTTTTTTTTTTTTTTTTTTTTTTATTTTTTTTTTTTGTGGGGATTTTTTTTTTTGATTTTTTTTGGGGGTCCCTTTTTTTTTTTTTTTCCTGGTTTTTTTGCTGGTTTTTTTAAGCTTTGGGAGCTTTTAGTTCATTTTGCAGGGGCTCCTTTTGCCCAGAATACTGTTATTTTAAGAGGAGAGCAGATTTTTTTTTTTGCATTCCGGCCTTTCAGTTTCTCCTCCTGATACTGGCTGCTCATGGTGGGTGTTCTGGCTTTGCCTCTTCTCTGTGCTTGCTGGAAGGACTTGTTTAATGGCAGGTCTGCTGTTGCTGCTGCTGCTTTTGTGTCTGTGATAGAGTGTGAGCCTATAGGGCTTGCAGGATCCCACACCATCAGTCCCTTGTCTCCCCTCTCCCTGATCAGGGCACCAGTAAGTAGTTTTTTGAAGTGCACAGCTCAGCTCCTGAGCCCCTCTATTCCACGTGTTACAAGGAGCTATTGGATTGGCTCCCTTAAACCCTGCTACTCTTCATACACAGATTAGCCAATGGCTGGCAGCAAAGCATGGACTGGAGCCCCCTTGTTTTTTTATCATGGATTCATCAGCAAAATGGGATTATGGCTTCAGATTCCATATTCAATTCATTCACCCCAAGGTCAGCGCAGTGAGATGGGATTTGGAGGTACAAATAGTCCCCAGACATAAATCTTATTTTGATGGTGTAGGAGAGGTTGATCTATTTTTTTGCACACAATGTTTTGTCCTATCTGTGCAATTCCTACAAACAAGCATCGATCCACCAAACCCAAATAAATATACATAGGAGAAAACGCACCACCAGCACACCAGCGATCAAATACAATAATAAATCAAACTGCTAAATAAAAATTTTTTTAGGGTGGATTTTTATCTGAAAGCATATTTTAAGCGCACAGAAAAAAATATTTTTTTGAAACAAAATATATAACTATCAAAAAGAAATATTTTACTTTGCAGCGTCCTTATTGGAATCAATTTTATTAGGAAATGGATTCTTTTCATCGATTTTTTTTTAAAAAATATTTTTTTTTTTTTTTTTATGATATTTTAATTTTTTTTTTTTTTTTTTTTTTTTTTTTTTTAATTTTTTCTAACCTTTTGATTACAATTTAAAACGAGAGATGGCTGATTTTTTGACCGAATTTTTTTTTTTTTTTTTAAATTTTTTTAGAAACATTCTAATTTTTTGGCACCCTTTTTTTTTTTTTTTCAATGCGGAAAATGGGTTTTTTCTGAATTTTTTTTTTTAAATAAATTTAACTGGCTTTTTTTTTTTTTCCTATTTTTTTTTAAAAAAAGAAAAATTTTGGAAATAAAAAAAGATGAACAATATTTATATTTTTTTAACAATGTAACCATATCTGAACTTTTTTTTTTTTTTTTTTTTTTTTTTTTATCAGATAAGTGTCATTTTTTATTGGGGTTCGGTGCTGATTTTTTTGCCATTTTTTGTCATTTAATCAGTATTGATCTTTTTTATTTACATAATTGGCGTTTTTTTTTTTTTTTTTTTTTTGTGATCCAGGGCAGGTTTAATTTATCATCAACCCTACTTCCATCTCCAACCCCCCCCTTTTTTTTTTTTTTTTCAACGTATCTAATAAAAAAAGAGGATTTTACAAAGGCATACTTGAATCTTACAGTTTTTTATTTTTTTTTTTTTTTTTAATTTTTTTTTTTTTTTAGGACTGTAATTTTTTCTGGGTCGGCCTTTCACGGCTAATGCTTTTTTTTTTTTTTTTTTTTTTTTCGCACGTTTTTTAGAAAAGTGCTGTGTTTAGGGTGTTTTTGACACCAGCCGCTGTTTTTTCGGGGACTTTCACCTACCCTTTTGGGGACTTTTTTTTTTTCGGCAGGTCCTCGTCTGACATGCAGACAGCATCAGCCTCAAATTTTTTGAGCATCACACTTCTTGTTCTTTTTTTTTTTTTGGCGAATTGTGAACCAGAAATATTCCTTTAATGAAAATAGACGTTTTTTTTTATACATTTTTTTACAATGAGATGTAAACATAAATTGCATTTTTCTGTATAATTCATTTTTTGTGTACATTTTTTTATACATCATAAATATGGTTTTTTTTTGTAAATTCCACCTAACAAATATTTTTTTTTATTTTAGTCTACACATAATTTTTTTTTTTTTCATTTTTTTTTTTTTTGATGTCTGACACTGCCAGAGCCCTGTACCATTTTTAAAAAAATACATAAAAAAAAATAAAAAAATAATATATATTTTTGTGTTTTATAAGGTCTATATGTTTTTATTTTGTTTTTTTTTTTTTTTCTATCATTTATTTATATTTTTACTTTGTGTTGCTATAAATTCTAAAATATCTTATATTTTTTTTATGATGCCATAAAATTTAAATTATATCTTTATATGATAATTTGATGATATTTTTTTTATTTAAATTATATATACATGATAGTGGGTGATAAGGTCTATACTATGTGTATATGATAGTTGTGATGCTAATTTTTTTTTGATATTTTTATGTGATAATGTGTGATGCTATTAAGAGCAATAAAATACATTTTATGATTTTTTGTGTGACGCTATAAGGTCTGTATTTAAACGTGTTGCCATAACGTTTATTTTACATTTTTTATAAGAGAGGGTGATGCTGCTGTGAGGTCCATACTTTTTATTTACATGACACGGCGTTTGTTGCTATTAGGTCTGTGATAAATGTATATGAATTTTTTTTTAATGTAATTTTTTATCTTTTAATATGTATATGTGATAGTGGGTGATGATGATATAAGATCTATAATTTTTTTTATATATATATTTATATATATATATAAAATAGTGGGTGATGCTGTTAGTTATGATTTTTTGTGATGTTATAAGGTCCATATTTTTATGTATATTTTTGTTTGATGTTGGTCTATAGTATATTGTATGATTTTTTGATTATTTTATAAGGTTTTTAATACATCTATAATACATGTTTTAAGATACTATTTGATGCTATAGGGTCTATAATATATGTATTTGATATTAGGTTTTGCTATAAGATCTATACTATATGTATAATAAACCGTGTGATGCTATTTTTTCTATAATATATTTTTTTATTAAATTGTGTGATGCTATAAGGTCCCTAACATATTTTTTTTATTAAAGTGTGTTTTGATTTTATATGGTCAATAATTTATTTATAATAAAATGTGTGGTGCTATACGATCTATTTTTATGTATAAGAAAGTGTGTGATTGTAAAGGTCTATACTGTGTGTATATGATAATGTGATTTTTTTTTTCTATTTTTATATGTATTTTTTTTTTTTTTATATGCATATTAACGTGCGTTTTGCTATAACATTATAATATATTTTTTATATTTTTTTTGTGATTTTATAAGGTGCTATGATATATGAATTTATTTTTGAGATACTATAAGGTTTGTTTTTTTTTGTGCAGTGCTATAATGTCTATATTAAACGTATAATAAATTTTTTGATGCTATAAAGTTATAGTTTATATATAATAAAGTTTGTGATGTCATAAGGTCTATAATATATAATACAGTGTTTGATGCTATAAAGTCTATAATATATAATAAAGTGTGTGATGCTATAAGATTTATAATATACAATAAAGTGTGATTTGCTTAAAGTCTTAATATTTAATAAAGTGTTTTGATGCTATAAGATCTATAATTTTTTTATAATTTTTTTTTTTGTGTAATTTTGTTTTTTTTTTTATTTTATATAATAAAGTTGTGATGCTATAAGGTCTATAATATATAATAAAGTGAGTGATTTTTTAAAGTATATAATATATAATAAAGTGAGTGATGCCATAAAGTATATAATATATAATAAAGTGAGTGATGCCATAAAGTATATAATATATTTTAAAGTGAGTGATGCCATAAAGTATATAATATATAATTTTTGTGATGCTATAAAGTCTATAATATATAATAAAGTGTGTGATGCTATAAGGTCTATAATATAAATATACTGTACATTAAAGTGTATGATGCTGTAAGGTCTATACTGTGTGTATATGATAGTGTGTGATGATACAAGGACCATGATATATGAATAATAAAGTGTGTGAAGCTTTAAGGTCTAAATTGTGTGTATAATAAATGAAATGATGCTATAAGGTCTATAGTATATGTATAATAAAGTTTGTGATGCCATAAGGTCTGTAATATTTATATACATTAAAGTGTGTGATGCTTTAAGGTCTTTATGGTGTGTATATGATAGCATGTGACGCTATTTTTTTTTTATAATACATGTAGATGAGTGTGTGATTTATACAAGCCTATAATATATGTAGATGATGCTATCAGGTCATTTTTACAGTGCCATTTTTCCAGATTTTTTGCTGTGTGCTCAGGGATGGTGAGTCTTTGGTGTATTTTTTATTGTGTTTTTTAGAAGACAAGTGTTTAATATTGATGTCAGTGGGTCTGTTGGCTCGCTGTATCCCAAGTGTCTACGCCTTTTAGCAGCTAATTTTTTTCTTTGTTTTGTCTTTTTTTTTCTCTCGCCTTTTTTTTTTTGTAATAATCTCTGAGATGTGTCTATTTAGTGAGAATGTTTTTTACAGGAAAGTCTATTTAACCCTGGGAGAAAGCCTTGACCTCATTCTTAGCCTACAGCTATCAGTCCCCAAATGATCATTGTCAAAATCCATTCCCCCAAACTTCAACAGTCTACAATTTATTCTTCCTCTATTTATCCCAGTTCAGTTATCGCCGTCCATGAGAGGCATAACAATAACTCTGCAATGGGAGAGCTCTTCTGTCCTCCTCTGCCACTGTCCTTCCACCGACACCATAGGTGCCCAGGTGTCATTTTCCGGACAACAGATATCTACATATGTACATATATATCTACACTACATATACGTGTACCAATATTCTGTCCACAACTGAAGTCATGGGCTGAAATAGCATCGACATTACACCGACTATGTAGCTTTTTCATTTACAATGATAAATATGTACAGTAGATTTATATAGATAGAGTTAAAATGTATTATTATATTACAAAATTTACGGGGACCATATATTATCTATCTATCTATCTATCTATCTATCTATCTATCTATCTATCTATCTATCTATCTTTATCTCTATCCCTCTGTGTACACACACACATTTGATATTTTTATTCATCTGGCTGTCGTTTTATCTATCATTTATGTATGTATGTATCTATCCTTCCATCTTTTTTAATGTATCTATTTTT